GGAGAACTGGTCAGCTATCTTGGTGAGTGACCGGCGTTAGCTACAGAATGTTAGCTAACGTCACATCACAACATTGTGAAGTTAGCTATCATATATTTAAGCAATAGCTCACGACAGGCCGTGGTATATGCTCATTATATCACAGCTAAGGGGCGTGGTTCGGCCCGACGCGAAGCGGAGGGTCGACAACCCCCTTAGCTGTGATATAATGAGCATATATCACGGCCTGAAGTGAGCTATTGCTTTTATAAAACGGTTACCAAGTGCGGCAATATGAAAGAAAAATACACACTCTAATTTAAATAGTTTTTATTAGTAAATAATGATGTACAAAATAAAATAGTCCCTCCGTTGCCTTCTGCACAAAAGGTGGTTGCTACGCAACAACACTAACAGCAAGCGAACATATTAGACAGCTAGCGTTGATCCATTATTTGGCTGTTTATTTACATTCATGTGTATGTTGCTGTTTATTGTGCATCCACTGAAAAACTGTCCAGCATCAGTAGCATGGCTTACGTGGTCACTTGTATAGGTTGAGGTTGTTCGAGGCTGTTGCTTGGCGTGGCGAGAATATTGCTCCACTTTCTCCGGTCCCCGAGATTGGGCTTCCAGTAGCTCTGGAGAGAGCTTTCGCACCTGTGGCCACTAACGGTCATAATTTCTCTGCTTTGTTTCAAGACCCGCATCAGAAAGCTTTTTGAATGGTGCTACTTTTCCAGTTGGTCTACCTGCTCTTCACGTAGCTCTGCATGTCGTAGTTTAGGTGCTTTTTTTTCTGGAGATAGGCACTGCTCAATCCACTCCTCCATACTATAGTAAGACCCCCCGGAGGTCGAAGTTAATCTTAAATGTTTCCATTTTATGCTTTGTAAGTTTGTTTTTGTAACGGAAGAAATTTAAATATATTTATAAAACTGACAAGTCAAATCAAGCAATCTGATTGGTCGATAGCGTTTTTGCGGACCTTTTTGATTACAGATTTGAAAACATCTTTGCTTGCTTTAAAAGTAGCACAATTCATTATGTTAAACCTTCAAAAGTATCTAGATATCCCTGCCCTAATGCCAAAGGAACTGCACACTGAATATGTTTTGCCGTTTGATGTCTATGTCTGGACCGCTGCGTCAAAAAGGAGGGCTTCTGCCCCGTTACTTCTCCGCTGCTTTCTTGTTCCAGTATTTTCAGCCCAACGGTATACTGTTTCTCTCAGACGCGGAGGGATACTGACTTCTGGTGAAAAGTAACTTACAATTCTACCCGTGGTATACGCTCAGTATATCACGGCTAAGAACCAATCAGATTGCTTGATTTGACTTGTCCGTTTTATAAAAAGTCATAACTAGCTGCACCTTGACCAGTTTTGATAAACCCATTAAATGGATCAATAATTATTATCACAAAATATAGTATACATTATTCTGAAATGGGGCAACTTGCATAATGAGTACTTTCACTTTTGGTACTTTAAATATATTTTGATGCCAATACTTTTGTACTTTACTTGAGTAACATTTTCCCACTGAACAGTTCAAACCTGTTATTTTTTAGCAACGTGACTCTACTAAAACTCTCATCCTTAGGGGTGTATGTATTTAAAACACAAACTGGAAAGCATGTTATAGGAAAAGCAAGGGATGTCTGTAAGGAACGTTGATGACATAGAAAATATGAAAAATCTATTTTAATAAAATTATCTTAAAACAAGACGATCTTTGTATCAAAACCCCTTCATCAATAAAAATATTGACATCTTTACAAAAAACTATGATATTTACATCAAGAAGCGGCAGTGAAAATACAGTATATTCAAAGAAAAGTACAAAAAAAGAGCTGCACAAGCTGTGAACAGTAAACATCGTCGAGAGGAATGCCACTAAACAACACTGACACTACCAATCACTTAGCAGGTCATTTCATATCAAAAATCTCTCATCCACCAGAGTCTTGTTGACGAGGTTCTTCCTTCCCAGAGTGTTACGGATCAAGCGAAATATCTGTAAATAATGAAATGCCGTTGAATATTATGTTCATTTAAACGCATTGAAGGTATCATAATCAATATACCCCTAATACTTACTATTTGCTGTACGCATGTAAGCACAGCTGCAAGCACAAAGCTCTGAGACCCGAGGTCAACGACACAGAAAAACAAAGTGTCGAAAATGAGCAGCGTAGCCTCATTTCCATAAAACAGTACGTCACTGAAAGTGTGGGCCTCATCTGGGGGAGAAAATCAAACAGACCTTAAATAAACATAAATGCGCTTATAAACAAACAGAAATGTACAGCATACCTGGGCTGAAGTCCTTACCATTGTAAAAGATGCTTTTTTCACTGGGTTCGAGGAACTCCATCCCTATGACCCTTTCAAACATCAGCTTGTCTCTCACTATATAGTCCATGTCAGGATGTGCCTGACGGAAATAACTCAATGTTAGAAACAGAACAATCTTGCCTCCACATGACATTTTTCAATTAATGTAAACAACTCATTTACTTTACAATGTAACAAATAAATTATACAATCAAACTATGTCGGGTTCAATGTGCTTGTGTGAATTAACGAGCGTGCGTTTCTACTGACATGGTCTATAACGGATCCCAGGAAGTGGTTCATGGTCTGGTATCCTCGGGCCCTCTGCTCAAACTGGTTAGCTGAGGATGTGTCCATCAGCCGCGATGGCCCGTTCCTCTGCAGCACAGGAGTCAAGCAACCATTAAAATCGGAAACCAGGAAGCACATTTCTTTCTTTGTTCAGATCAACACGACAGCGAAAGCACACACCCTGCCGATCTGCTCCCGTATCCTGTCATACTGCAGTCGCAGGCGGTTGGTGAGAGACACCTGAAAGGTCTGGGTGTCTGAGTTGGGCAGTAAACCTCTCTGACCACACAAGGACTCCTTTAGTCAGAAAAGGAAGAAAGAGAATGGATTAAATGTGAAATCAACAATGTCATAAATATGCTAGAGCTTCTAACACATCATGTAATCTGTTGGAGTACATACAGATTCTCTATTCAAATTGTTGTTCATTTCCTCCATGTTTGTGTCTGCATGCCCATGTACTGATCGCCCGTGAATGTAGTAGCCAAAACAACGGTGAGATAGCAGCAACACGGAAATCTGATTAGAAAACATGGAAAAATATGATTTACACTTAATAAAACAATTCAGGACATATAAATTGTTTAAAATGTTGTATAGACATTGATACTTACATTACTGATGGAGCAGAGATCAACAAACTGACGGATTTTGTCCTCTATAAAGTGCTCATGAAACACAGTGAAGAAAATAACCTGTGGGGATAAATAATTTTCTTTTAATGGAACTTTCCAAAATGTTACTGTTTACAGTCATACATTTACAAGTCTCAAGCAATTCCCAAGTGTTCACTGTGGTGAGACTCAAGCAAGTCAAGTCAAGTCATGCTCAGGTCAAGCAAGTCAAGTCATACGAAATTCTGATGAATAACTCCAGTTTCCGCATTTATTTATTTATTTCCGGATACTGTGAGAGTCACGGACATTAATTCAGAGATCAAGGCAGACTGGTTTACACACTCACATGTTTTGCCGATCCGGTGCTTAAACAAATAGCTTTACATCCCTAGCCGAAATGTCCCTAAAATGAAGTCCATTTTTAAATATATCTCAAATATTGCATGCACTGTCATTTCCCCACATAAACATTAACAGTCTGCAATGAAATGGTTGTCTCCTGTGTGCTCCACTTCCTCCTTGGCGCACCGGTNTGTAATAATTACGTTGGTCCACAACTTGGGACGTAGTATTTCTACAAAAACGCCTCTGAAATTGTAAGATCCCTACGTTTTTTTTCGCCATTCATTTGCTGCAAATGAATGGCGAAAAAAAACGTAGGGATCTTACAATTTCAGAGGCGTTTTTGTAGAAATACTACGTCCCAAGTTGTGGACCAACGTAATTATTACACGTTTAGATGTGAGACTGGGTTGGCCATTCACACATGACAAATATCGACATGCTTACCTTACAGTTTCCTAATCTAGCAGATTGCCCCTGCCTTGACCATCATTGTTTTAACAAACAGCTAGCATGCTCATATTGCAGACACCCCGGTCCACAGTTGCATTGATTTGCTGACTCATTACATCTATGACTTTGGAAAGGACAAATGGTCGTTGGAACTGATATGGCGTGAAGAGCAACATGAACCAGGCAAGATGAGGAGAGAATTTATGGGCTACAGAACATACTAACCGCACACGCAGCTGACTGGAATGGAGGGGATTAATTAACATTAGCAATAAGATCACGAGTTGACCTTGACCGGCTAACGTATGCCATGTCAGGGATATTGTAGTCAATTTATAGGGTGCACAGCAAAATTGTAAGAGCAACCACCAGATGGAAGGTGAAACATCAGTGGTGATGGTTTGAAGGACCCAAATGATAACATTACTTTATGCAATAAAGTTATCCAAAAAGTATACATTTAAATGACATATATTATAACAGAACAGAATAATTTTATTTTCTCTACAAGAGAAGCAAGTTTTTGTGGTAAAAAGCACATCAATCAATTAACACTGTCACTACTGTCTAAAAAAATGCAACTTCTTGACATTTAATTTCCAGAATCAAAACCAAGAAGATAACACTATTGTTTCAGAAAAGGCATTATGTTTTTGTTATTACTACACACATTACCATTTCCATGAGATATTTCAATTTATTTTCTTCCTATGTCATCCCACGTCTTACTGTTTGAACAAAGGACAGTGGACTGCGTTGCGTAGGTGTAAGATAATAAGCAATCTTCAAAATAAACATATCCAACCCCTCATTGGTCAAACAATGCATATGTGTGTATTTTTAGCTCCTCTGTTTTTTTGTAATTTGTGTGGGTTGCAATGTTTTGATGACTTGTGTATCTGGTGTGTAGCCATGCAGATGGACAGTAACACGAAGCGTTCAATGAGCAGACGGTTGAGGGCTACAAAGCCAGATCTGTATCCCCCTCACAGCTGTGGAAGAGCTTTGCCTTTTAAATGGCTTATGAATATCTATACAAATAGATAGTGGACTGCTTAAAAAGTAAGCGTGACAGCAATAATAGCCTTTGTGTTGTTAATACTTTTTTCAATTTATGATTAGAGCACTTTCTGTTTCCATTAAACTTAGCTCGGAATGCCGTAAACGTGCATTTTCTGAGATTTTAGTAGCTATATTGCAGAGGCAACCAACACCAATCTGGTGTCCCTTAAGAGCCCCACATTGCACCAGGCTGCAATAATACAGCCGTGATGGATTTGATATTTTGGCTACTTGTATCAATGGGCTTTGTGTTCCAAAATGGCAAAGAAACTGGAGTCTTTATCAGCGGCAGAAAGCTGATGGCTGTTCCCATGACTTTGGTCTCTGTACTTTTTGAATATGAAGTCCGTTGTGAGTCTGAGTCTAAGGCTGTTGTTTGAAACAGTGCTAGGTAAGAATTACTTTTGTTGATAAATTATAATTGCACACTTTACGCTTGGTTTATATTAATCGGGTATTCCTAAGTTTATAGGCTTATTTGTGTTTTACCCTTCTTTTTTTCTTTTAGGGGTCAGGGTTAGAAGCCATATATATTTGTCTTATTTTAAGGTAAAATATGGACCTCCAATAATCCTGCTTGAACAGAAAATATTATGTTTGAATGTGGATGTTAACACTGACTCACTCAAACCTTTATTTAGACAGATTGGTCCCTTGAGATCATCGATCTCATTTACAAGGGAGACCTGCATCATTTAGTTCCACATGAAACATAAAAACAACATACAAACAAACAACAGGATATCATATTTACATATTCAACATTTACAAATACCCAGAGTGTCAGAAAGCATTTCATTTAGACGTGCCTTAAATACATTCAGAGAAATAAAAATGCTCAATTTCAATTTTGCCTGTAGACTGTTCCAAGCAAGTGGAGCTGCGCACATAAAAGCTGTCTTACCTAAGACAGTCCTTACTCTTGGCACATCTAACAAGACTATATCCTGCGATCGCAGACAATAGCTGCTTGCAACTTTCTGCTTTATCAATGAACAGATATAATACGGGAGTTTGCCCAACATAGCTTTATAGATAAAAGTGTACCAGTGACTGAGCCTCCGTACAGTGAGTGATGGTGAAACCTGCCTTGGTATACAGTGTACAGTGATGAGTAAGTGCTTTACAATTTGTGACAAATCTCAGAGCACTATGATACGCAGCATCTAGTTTGCTCAGGTAGTTGGCAGGTGCATTCATATACATCAGATCACCGTAGTCCAGCACAGGTAAAAAGGTCACAGTGACTAGCCTTTTCCTGGCCTCAAGCGAGAAACAGGACTTATTCCTGAAAAAGAAACCTAGCCTAACCCTCAGTTTTTTAAGCAGGTTATTGACATGAAGTTTAAAAGAGAGACAGTCATCAAGCAAGATACCAAGGTATTTGTAACAGGCAACAACTTCAAGTTTTGTTCCTTGCGTAGATACAATATCTAAAACAGGCTCTGGTGTCTTTTTAGCTTTTGAAAGGAGCATTATCTTGGTTTTATCCACATTTAAAAGAAGCTTTAGTTCAGAGAGCTGAGTCTGAAATTTGATAGGAAGCTTTTATTTAAAAACGATTGCAGTTAGGAACATGTTTACCGTGGGCAACTTCTCACATGCCAAACTTGTCACAACTCAACAGGCTGCTTTTGCACTTCTGATTCCTGTAAGTCTTATTTTACACTTCTTCTACTTAAGAAGATATTTGATAACTTGTGAAAGATAACAGTACATCCTATTTGAAGATTACCTGACCTTGTCATCCATTACTAGTGAGGAAGAGACTTCATATCTATGTCAAATTACACAGAAGGAACTGGCCAAATGCTGCTAGTGTACGATATTATTATATATCGCAACATCACAATGGACAACTTCTTCACCAGTATCCCTCTGGCTGAGAAGCTCCTTNAGGGGATCTCTGCCGGGAGCCCAGTCACAAATCACACTGTCAATTGTACACATGTCGAGGGGGGCCACATTGAATCACACCAGGACATTTCAGAGTTGACTCCATGTTACCAGTGTTTCTTCAGAGGTCGTTGGATAAGCTGTCAGCTATAGCGTGTCGAAAAGAGCTGAAGTTCACTACATTTGGTCCGGACCAAGGGAAAAAGTTCAAGTAGACATACCTGGAGCTTGAGGACCCTTTGCCTAAAACTAGCCACTCTCTGGGGGCGCCTCGACAAGCGCTTTAAATGACATCATCATGGCCTTGTACAGATCTTCGAAAGAGATAAAGTGCAGATATTGTGCTCATTCTCAGGTTCATATTCATATTACATGCCATAATGTTCAAAAAAGGTATTTATTTTTCTCATACTGCCTGTGCTGCAGCACCTCTTTTCACCCTATGTCTGAAACCAGAGCCCAGTCTGCTCTGATTGGTTAGCCGGCCAGCTCTGTTTTGATTGGTCAACCACTAGGAGATATGAAGGAAATGTCCCGCCCTTTAACCTATGACGTACAAGGTGTTGTAATGCTGAGTGTTGAGGATGAGAAACTCCCTCTGGAGGGATTTGGAACTTAGTCTTTGCAGACCATTTACATGCACACAATCCTATTTAACACATTAAGGGAAAGGGAAGACCCAAAAAGCATAACAGGGCCTCTTTAATTGGCGGTTATTGAGAGGGGTAGGTAAAAGGTCCCAATCTACCCCGAGGTATTGCAGTTATAATTTCCATATATATCAACAGCTTAGGTGATAATGTGGATGAAGCTACTTTACATTTCTATGCGGACGATACCGTGATGTACTGTGCAGGTCCCTCCATTCAGGAGGCGGTTGTTAAATTACAGGCTGTTTTTAACATTATTCAGACTCAGCTCTCTGAACTAAAGCTTCTTTTAAATGTGGATAAAACCAAGATAATGCTCTTTTCAAAAGCTAAAAAGACACCAGAGTCTGTTTTAGATATTGTAACTACGCAAGGAACAAAACTTGAAGTTGTTGCCTGTTACAAATACCTTGGTATCTGGCTTGATGACTGTCTCTCTTTTAAACTTCATGTCAATAACCTGCTTAAAAAACTGAGGGTTAGGCTAGGTTTATTCTACAGGAACAAGTCCTGTTTCTCACTTGAGGCCAGGTAAAAAAGTCACTGTGACTTTTTTACCTGTGCTGGACTATGGTGATCTGATGTATATGAATGCACCTGCCAACTACCTGAGCAAACTAGATGCTGCGTATCATAGTGCTCTGANCGTTATGATAACATTTAAAACTTGTTTTATCATATCATCATATATTGTTCAACCAGAGGCCAAACTGGTTTACCTGTTAGAGTGCTATAGTACACACTTAGAACAATATATGATGATATGATAAAACAAGTTTTAAATGTTATCATAACGCTATTAAGAGACATTGGACTATTTCCTCAGATGATTTAACTGCAATTACGTAATGGATTTGTGCTTTGCATCTAAAGATGAGGATGACTAATACATTCATTTGGTCTCGAACTGGTGGACATGCAAGCCAGAGCAGCCCATTATTGAACTCAGAACATCTTTTTCATTTGATGATTCATTCACTAAGTCTATTCATGTAATTATCACCTGCATAAAAGCTGATGATCATAAAATGACTGTCTGAATGCTGCTCTCAGACAGTCGATGACAAAATAACATTTCAATTTGATAAAAAAGTCAACCTAGGTGTAAATTAAAGAAATGTATTTTCATTTTCAGCGTGTCACTGTGCACATAGTGTGTTCATGAAATGTAAAAATCTCATCATATCTGTTGTCATAATTATGCTGATGACATTGGATGTATAAAAGAAATTCACAATATTCTTCATCTATTTTTCATTTATGCTTGTCAAGTCTTCTCCTATCTCTCTAACGACAGATATATATGGGTGGCTTTCCACTTTCCTGCGGCTGCACAGTGCTTAACCGGGAGAACATTTAATTTGCTCTTCATTAAATCTTCAATGAAATTTCAATAACTTACCGTATATCAATTGCACCGTACCAGATTCCATTTAAGTAAGTCAGACTTTGAATTAGGAAAAACGTTCACCACTGTTACCTGTGTATGATGATTACACGTGCAATAGATATTTTAACTCTGTACGAGTGCGTGCGTATGTCTTTTTGTAGTCACTTTCCCCCTTGCCATTGCAATTTTTGCTGCCTCAAAAACAGCATTAATATGCAAAAGTGACCTCATAGATTCCCTTTTAATTTCTACTTTTTTTAATACAATGCATAACCCCCTAAAAAGGTGAAAAAGTATTGGTTGAAAAAAATGGAATACACAACTAATCCATGATCGTCAAACTCATCCTCTTTATTTAAGTAACAAATTAGCTTTACACTATTTGAAAGTTTGCTCATGATCTGAGGTTTGTGGACATTTTCCCTAATTCATAGAATAAAAAAGCAAAAGCCCTTGTTCGACTTTCAGCTCAAAACCAAAACAACACAACAGAACAAAGACTAGCAGCGATTAAAAAATGATAATTTTTTTGGAAATTCAGTTTGAGTCAGCAGCATGGCTGTGTTGTTCTTTCATTAGAACGAAGACCTCCTACAGTATATCCCTCCTCGCTCTTCAATCTTCTCTCGTCTTACTCTGTCCTTCCCTGTACTGTAAGTTCAACATCAAAGGGATCAATTTGCATATGGCGAGAAGGGAGTGCTGAGAACTGGTCCCAAACCTCATGAGGACAGCCTCTTGTAATCCAATTTGCATGATAATAGATATTCTCGCAGTAGAGGTTAACATGCTCACGGCAATCATAATTATGGATTGAATAAGAACAAAAACATAAACATGTATGACCTCCAATGAGCTCCTTGCTGAATGATGTACCTGCTCGTTTTAATTTGAGTGCATTCACTATTATCTGCAATTTATCACTTAAATCAAGAGCTTGATAGGCAAACAGAGACTGTTGATCATGATAATAAGGGATTCTCCGCCAACATTAATAAAACCTTATCATAATAGGCGCGTTCACACCGGAGTACTTTTACCCGTACTTTTCCCGTTTAGTTCCGTTAGTACCCCTTATTTTGCGTTCACACCAAAAAGATACTTAGTGCCGGGAACTTTTACCCCCATTTTTAGTGCCTTCTAGAGAGGTGGTACTATCCTGGGGAGAAAAAAGTACCAATTCGATTGGCTGGGCGAATTGCAAACCACGCCCCGTAAAACTCTGAAGTTTTGTGAAGCCGCCATTGTATTTGCTGGCATTAGCATTATTAGCATTAGCATTAGCCCCACGCACCAACGGAGAGAGAATAACCTATGGCAACACAAAAGAAAACATGGGAGCGGTGGAGATGAGAGGTGTCGGCGTTCTGTTGATTTACTCGGAAGCAGCTTGTACTGAAGCCTTCCCCAACTCCGGGGACTCCGGGTGGCAGTATACACCGTGAAGTGGTTTTCGTCCTGCCAGTAAACCCAAAGCAGAAGAAGAAGAAGTGACAGGAGTTTTATAGTAATCCCCCTTATATATATATATACACACTGTATATATATTTCTGTCTGGGCCAATGTTTTGGACCAACAGACCGTCAGCCCTACAGCCATGCCGCTAGCACAGCAAACACACCATCAGCATATTAAGTATTAATGTACGTTCCCCATTTAGAGTCACAAGGAAATCACCAAGAATGACAGTTTACATGCGAGCAGTGTAGCATTTCTTTTTAAAGCCTCAGATACCCCGAAGATAAGTGTGGCTTTAGCTCCTTTAAAGTGCAGCTTTAACGTGTGACATGGGGCTGTGCTGAGTGTCTGTCTGCAGCTGGCACTCTGACGCTGAGTCACTGAGACTCTGCAGACTCACGCTGACAGCAAACCGGCTCACTTTAATATCTTCTGACGCCACAGAGCTTCCGGCCACGCTCCTGTTATCTGGCCACAGTGGAAGGCAATATTATGTTGACAATAGGAAAATGAAGAGTGACTTGCAGTGCCACACCCTCTTTGGTTTTGGCCTTGTATTCAGTTCCTATTAAACCGAGTATTGAGTTCATCTAAATATGGGACAATGGTTTTGGAACGTCAATTTTAAATGGATGTTCAGAAATTTGAAATGCAGATGTGGCGCGGAAACATCTGCACCGCTATTTGCTCTTTCCAACATTTTGTACATTCTCTACATATTCATTTGACAACTGCCTGGAAATGGGATGACAGTAATGTAGATTGAGAAAAAAATCTGTTTTCCGTCACTTATTTTCTCTGTTGACTTATCTTGAATGTCAGAAAATAATTTAAAATGTCAGTCCCAGTTTCTCAAAATCCAGGCTTTTCTAAAATCTGTATATTCAAGAAGCTAAAAAACGACCTTTTCTGCCCTTTCACGATGAAAAATTACAAAACCATCATCAATTATATTGGTGTTGCTCATCTAATCGCTGTGGCTCCGGAAAAATCAAAGCATAAATATGATTTGGTCTAAACTTAGATAACAGAAAATTATTAATTATTTAAAAAAATAAAAAGAATTGTCCTCAGAGTTTGATATTTGGCTGCTTTTTATTATGTTATTGTATAATGAATATGTTTAGATGTTGAACTATTGATGAGAACTTAATGAATGAAAGCTGTTTTTTTGAGTAATTTTAACAAATAATCACTTAAGTCAAATATAAGTAAAGCACTTTCCTATGTGTGCTAGCCGTACCATGTTGTCTTAAGTTGGGTATTTCATGTTTGCTATTCAAAGTCAGACATTTAGGGGACGGTGAGCAGTGGGATGTTGGAGATGAGTCCTTGTCCGTCATACATGTGGTCACCATGTGTGATCATCAGCAGCTGTACAGTCAGTGTAGCGTGTCGGCTGACAGACAGGAAACCAGCGCTCCTCACTCTGATGCAACAGAGCTGCAAGACCTGACCACGTGGCACCCTGGAAATCTCTCCATGATTTCCCCATTGAGTCATAGTTAACATTTCTTGAAATCTACACAAGTGAATGCATGCAATTACACTTTTTGAAATCTGTATCTCCTGCTCTCTGCAGAAAAACACGTGGGAAATCTCAATGCATAGCTCATGAGTATTAAACTGAGAGAAGTGAACAAGGAAGTGACTCCAGACAGAGTCCTCTGGGAAAAGCTCAGGACCTTTACCAGCATGGGAACGAGTTGTAGGATTGTGAGGAATTAGCTTTTTTGATGCCATATGCATGAGATATAGACACCAATCTGAGAGGCGTAGTTTGACATTTAAAAATAATTTGCTTATTCACGTTTGGTGGGTGAGAAAGAGGAGTGGGTCGGTGTGATCGTGTTAGCTTAGCTTGGCACACATAGTGTAAAACAGGGACACAGCTGGCCTGTATTTGTGACATGTCACCTCCCACGTTAACCTATTATAACTGTAAACCAGAAGTGCAAACAATTCAGTATTCTGAGTGGTCGTGTGCAGGACTACTTCTTTGACGGAAGCAGTAACAGGGTATCTGTTTTCAGTGTTTGTGCTAAGCTAACTGGCTGCTGGCTGGCTAGTACAGAAGTTATTTCAGCCCCAGTTATCTTGGTTTGTCACTAAAAGTAATTCCTTAAACATTTCAATTTATCATTTTGTTTTGAAACTCAACCCTAGGAGAACGTACTGGCCATGATTACATTTCTTCTACAGCTCAGTGTTAAAGTACTACATGTTCTAATTCACTGACACACACAGCACAAAGACCCCCACAGGAGAAATGCTGATATGCATTGTAGCATGTTAGTTATTTCCTTTGTTCCTGATTGAACACAAGATAAAAACTGGAGGCCACTTCCTGCAATGTCTTTCTTCCTGAATGTTATTTTGACTGAAGGGGCTTTCTCTCCCCTCTGTGCTGCAGGTGGGGGGCTCTAAGATGGGAGTCATTCGCTACATGGGGGAGACAGACTTTGCCAAGGGGGAGTGGTGCGGGGTGGAGCTGGACGAGCCTCTGGGGAAGAACGACGGGGCAGTGGCTGGGACAAGGTACACACACACACACACACACACACACACACACACACACACACACACACACACACACACACACACACACACACACACACACACACACACACACACACACAACACACACACACAACACACACCACACTACACCACACAACACACACACCACACACACACCACACACACATCACACAACACACACACAACACACACAACACACACACCACACACACACCATGTTTACATTACTTCAGGGGACATTACATTGACTTACATGCATTTCCTGGAGACTTATCCTAACCCTAACCCTAACCAAGTCTTCACCCTAAAATTAATGACACCCCTTATGGGGACCCCCATTTTGTTCCCATAAGGAAAGCCAGTCCCCACACGTGACTGTGTAAACAGATTTAGGTCCCCACAAGGATAGTAATACTAGGTCACACACCACACA